AACTCTTTATTATCAGGGTGTACCAAGAAGTCAGTCAAGTCGCTTCAGCTGATTCAAAATGCTGCAGCTCGTGTACTAACCAGAGTTAGGAAAAGGGACCACATTACTCCTGTTCTGGCTGCCTTACACTGGCTCCCTATAGAAAACAGGATAGAATTTAAAATTCTTCTTCTCGCCTACAAAGCCCTTAATGGGCAGGCGCCATCTTACCTTAAATAACTCATTATACCCTACTGTCCTACTAGGGCATTGCGTTCCAAGAATGCAGGGTTGTTGGTTGTTCCTAGAGTCTCTAAAAGTACAATGGGAGCCAGAGCCTTTTCTTATCAAGCTCCACATTTGTGGAATCAGCTTCCAGTTTGTGTTCGGGCGGCAGACACCCTATCCGTTTTTAAGAGTGCGCTTAAGACCTTCCTTTTTGATAAAGCTTATAGTTAGGGCTGATTAGATTCAGCCCCTAGTTTTGCTGATATAGGCTTAGTTTGTCGGGGGACATCTTACTTCTTCCTTCTCTCTGTCTATACCTGTGTACTCTCATGTTCCGATTAACCCAGCTTCCCCAAATGTCTTTCTTTTTGGTGTCTATATACGCCGGGATCCGGAGTCATGGATGATCCTGCGCTCCTCTGTCCTGGATCGCGAGCCCTGGATCTTGAGTCGTGACTGTGGTCCTGGATCATCGGTCCTGGATGGATATCCTCGTGGATTCGTCTTCCTGTTGTACACACGTGCATTTCCAAACATTTGGACTACCTATGTTGCAAATGTATTATCTTTTCAATGTACACACGGCATCTATTGCACGTCTGTCCGTCCTGGGAGAGGGATCCCTCCTCTGTTGCTCTCCCTGAGGTTTCTCCCATTTTTCCCTTTAAAACTGTGGGTTTTCTCCAGAAGTTTTTCCTTGTACGATGTGAGGGTCTAAGGACAGAGGGTGTCGTATTGTCATACTGATATTTTGTACAAACTGTGAAGTCCACTGAGACAAATGTAACATTTGTGATATTGGGCTATATAAATAAACATTGATTGATTGATTGATTGATTGATTGATTGATTGATTGATTGATTGATTGATGATGAGCAAAAAAAAAGAACAAATGAACCAAAGACAGTGAAAACCATAGTGTGTATGCGTATAGATTCACACTTAAAGTGGATCTATTATGCTATATTTGAAAAATATATTGTAGGGCCATACCTATACAAAACATGTCTGTGGAGTGTGTTGCTTAAAATACGCCTCATACTGCTCATACCCCTCTAATCCAGCCCTGTTCCAAAAAGGCTGATTCTGCTTTAACCTGTTAAGCCCTGGGGCCTCATTTATAAAGGGATATATGCTCAAAAGATGGCGTACGCCAGTTTCTACGCAATCTTTGTGATTTATAAAATACTAACTTGACAGGAAAATGTGCGGTCCTCCACGCAAACTCTAACCCATGCGTACGCACGAAGCACAAAAACGGGAGAGACGAGAAACTGCGACACCGTTGGCAGAAGGAAGAATGGAGAGAAATATGTGGAAATAATACCATAAACAAAATGTTACCTCTCATTTATCATATATGAAGAATTCATTTTCAAACATTGATTAAAGCCAATCTTAAAATGATTAAACATACGCCTGTTTGCGACTCCTCAGTGCACACAAAAACATAACTTGGAGAAATAAATAAATATGGATATGTTATTGAAAACCACCTCGAATATGTTGTGTTAATGTTTTCTCATAAATGATGCGGTAAGCAGAAGGACAGAATTACGTCTAAACTGATGCCGTTTTGCATTTCTATAGGTTGTAGATACGAGCATGGTTTTATATACTATCACGTTTAATCGTGTTTTATGCCGTTTGCCAAGACTTGATAAGTCGCTCGTAAAACACAGGAGGTATGGAAGCTAAGAACACCATATGTGGTAAATTGTACAGCTAATATAACACAACACATTAGTTGTATTTCCTTTAACTGGTGGATATAGGGTTGCTGCGGGGGGGGTGAGATGCACAGGCTGCAGTGGAGACGCTGCGCACAGCTGATCGACAGCTGGAACACAAACCACCAAATACAAAAACATAATTCAGATCCAGTCATCATGACTCCACTCCGGGGGGATTCCCCGTTCACTTCTTACAGTTTCTCATCAAAGGGGGGGTCTCCTGTCCCCGGTACAAACACACTGCCTGAGGAAGGCTATGTGTATTCTTTTTGTCATTAACCTTTTTCGGGCCATTTATTTATTTATTTAGGTGACGATCCGACCTCCATGCTGCTACTCTGGTTCAAACTGCATCCACCAAACAATATGATTTATCTCCACCTCCCCAAAATAACCAGAATCTGACACGGTGTGAGATGTCTTTTTTAGCTGTTCTGTCGTCATTTCCTGCGATCTTCTTCATAAAGTCAGTCAGAATGAATGAATGAATGGGCGTTTCTTTGACTATTTATAGGCAAATATGGGCGTTACGTGAAGCCCGCAAAAGCTGCACCGCATTTCGAGTCGGTTGTGATTTATAAAGGGAAACCGGCGTAGGAAGTGCTGTACGCACTTTCCTCGCCGGTGTGCAATGTTTGGTGAATCGGAAAATGTCGAAAATGTCTGTACCTATTTTTTGGATTTCTACTACTAAGCAACCTTCCCACATGAATCCTACACACGGCGTTATAAATGAGGCCCCTGGGCCTGTTTTTCAGGCCTCAGGCTCGAAAATGACATTCCCAGAAGAAATGACTATATCTTCACTTCTAAAAGGGGTAAATTAATAATCTTTTTTCTCAAAGCAATGATAAACCTGTGAGGATGTAGAAAAGTCAGAATCAATATAGAATTTTGGTAACACTTTATATTAAGGTACACAAATTAACCATCAACTAGTTGTTAATTAACATGCATATTAGCAGTATATTTGCTCTTTATTAGTTTAGTGCAGGTTAAATGGAACGGCTGCTGCTAGCCACGCCCCTTTGTAGCATCATGCAGCTTTCCCCTGCTAAGAGGTCAGACAAACTCAGCTAAACGCTGCCGTGATTAAATGCCATATTATGTTCCCAACCACTTCCAGCATTATTTCTGAAACAGTATGGAGCTCAAACCTTTCTCTCTCACAGGGTTTACCACAAGGACATTATGTTACACATATTCTCTCCAGCAGCCTATAGCGTTAGCTCTGAGTGTTAGCATGCTTGCTAATGTAAACATAGACCATATTACTCCCAAAACACGCCGTGCATTGTTTCTGATACAGCGCATAGCTTGACATGTTCTTTCTTAAGTGTTTACCGCTAGAACAGTGCCAATCATATGTATTATATATATAACAACTTTACGTGTGCCGGAGATGATAGGTTGGGACGTGTCACTTGTGCCGGAGACGATAGGTTTGGACGTGTTACGTGTGCCGGAGACGAAAGGTTTGGACGTGTTACGTGTGCCGGAGACGATAGGTTTGGACGTGTCACCTGTGCCACATGTCGCCAATGACGTCATAGGAGCCAAAATCCTGGATCTGCTCGTTTGCACTCCCGTTTTTTTTTTTTTTAGAGATGTGGGTACAGAGGAAAAGAGAAAGGGTTTTTTTTTCTTATACTTTGAGTTCCCTGACACACCGGGGACACATTGATGTATAAAAAGTGCATTTTGCATAATAGGTCCCCTTTAAAGTATTAGCCTACAGAACAGTATCACAGAGCAGAACAGCACTCTTTTTGATGTAACTGTAAGGAATGCAGTATCATTTTTTTGTAATCCTAATTTCGTAATCCAGTTACATGTAATCCATTACTCCCAAAGACTGAATACAGTTTACCATTACACTGTGTGCAAGTCTACAGAGATGGCTCTGATCAACTTCTAGCCGCCCAACATAGCAGATGACTTGACTTCCCTTTACATGTAAGTGTCATGTTTAGTGTCAAAGAGTACAGTCCAGACTTTCTCTTCTGTTATGACCAATATTAATAAAAATGGACTTCATTTGTCTGACTTGATTTGATATTCAATTATAGTTAAGTGCACTACCACACTAGCTGAAGAACATGCAGTCAGTGTGGTTATGAGTTATTGTATGCTGTGCTGTGGGCCTCGTCATTTCACAGCAGATGTTACTCATAAGTGGAGGTGTAAGCAGAAGTGAAATGTTAACAACAATGCTCACAACCACAAAGTCATGTGGGTCTGTTTCTTGGTTTTTGCTTCACATTTGATCACAATGTAGGCTCAGTGAAACAGTTGAGATCAACATCAGTATTCACTATGACCTGTTTTACATGATATGTAAATACAACAACATAATAATTTATAATAGAAGACATCCCCACATACATGAACTATTGTCCATCAAGAACCAGACAGTGGAGCTTTGCCAAACGGATCGCCAGCGTTTGTATTGACTTAGGAAACTTTCCTATTTTAACCATGATGATCATGTTTTATTGTTTATTTATAGTCAAGTCTGCCTTTTTCTTTAATGTCATGGTTTGGTAACCTGTCTTTAAAGAGCAGGAACTCTCTCTTCCTTCAGGCCAGAGGTTAGCTGTCCCTAGTTGCAGAACTAAGAGTTTCAGCAGCCATCGCTCACATTAACATTCGTTCTTGCAGTGTCACAAAGATTCTACTATTTTTATTATTATATTTTGTTATTTACTTGCTATATTATTTATTTTTGTACTATTGGTTTTTATATCTATTTAAATGTGATAGAGCATGGGGTACTTTGTTAAAGATTTGTCTGTGTTGTTTTAAAATGTCAGGATGGATCCCTTGTCTTTTATCTGCAAACCAAATGAACCTACAGGTAGAAATAAATCACCTGAATCTGAACTTGATCATCAGTGTCTACAAATGCCACTTGTGGTTTGCGTTTAAGCTGCAGCTTCACTTCTCTAAATGTAAACCAAACTTTTTGGGGTTCCCAGCTGCACAGCAAACACAGAACTTCCTCTTTCCTCGCAAACAGAGCTCCACCTCTGGTCAAAATAACACGTTTGCTGCTTTCATCAGGCACACACACAGAGAGGAGTCAGCACAGCGGAGCGTAAAGACTTACACTGTGGTTGCAGGCACATTTAGAGAAGGTTAAACTTCTCCTGTTATTACCAACTAAGAGGTAAGTTGTGAGACGATATAACTGTACTGCACATGTAAAGTAGAATTCTTAAATCAATTTGTTTTGATGGTTCTTCTGTCAGATTTGCACATCCCTCTGGATTGTGCACATTGTACACAAAGCTACCTCGCATATCTGCACGGCTTTCCACTTTTCATACCAATACTGCACATATTTGATTCTATTTTATTTGTACAGGTATATTATATATTTGTTATATTTAATGTAAATATTACTACATTTTAATGTTATAATAGTTTTTTGTAATAGTTTTATTTTTGTGGTCCTTTTCTTACAATGTATCTTCTTTAACTGTGCCTCTGTATGAACCAAATGCACCAAGGGTACCTACTGTACTCGGCAGTACAACCTGTTTCTGATTCTGATTTGTCATTCAGATATTTGCATAGATAACCTGGACATGGCCCTTGGCAAAGAGAAGCTGCAGCTCTTGTTTCGTTTCGCCCTGGTGTTCTCGGTGGTTCTGACCTCAGCTCTGAGAACCCTGGATTCAGACCAGGAGCTGCAGGACAGCGGTTTCGGTCGCCCGCCGCCTCGCCACGGCCTCAAGCTGCTGGGCTGGTACGTTCAGGACTGCCTGGACAACAACATGCGGGCTCTGTGTGATCCCACTAAAGGAGAGTTTGGATTTCACAAGTTTCAGAACCTTAGGCCTCAGAAACTGCTTCCAATAATAGAGGACGAAAAGCAATATGCATACTACACCATCGGAAACCTCCACTCTTTACAGGCCGAGGACCTGCCCTTTGAAGTCAAGAGGTACTACAACCGCAGTGACCCTAAAAGCAACATGGACAGAGTTTTGGTGAGATACAACATCAACAATAAACACATCGACCAAATCTACGCATCTGCACATTACGATCCAAACGAGACGTACATTATTGGCCCCAATCTTCTTGCCTTTCTTCGACAACAGCCCCACATTAGCATAGAGATGTGACTTCTGATGTAAAACTCTCTGTGACAACTTTAATAGCTCCGTGATTCATTCCTCCAGAGATATATGATGGAGTTTCAACATTTATTAAACAATGTGGATTTGGCTGCTGCTTTTCTTTGTGGTCTGATTGCAAGAAAAGTGACATTTTTGATGATTATATTTCCTGAAAGTCAAGTTGCACAGTATGCCTACTTTTAGAATATACAGTAGAGAATCCATAGAAAAGTGTCTTTGACCAATCAAATAAATGTTCGAATGGGCTGCTTTGGTGTGCGTCTATGTGTGAACATTTCTGTTCATTACAACTTTGGTCTTTTGTACCTGGATTGGGGCATCTTTCAGCTTAGATCACCTTGTAATATTCACAAAGGGCTTGCAACACACAGACATCCCGATTCTGAATGTGTGAAAATAACTGAACAGTCACTCCATCAGACAAGTGAAACAAGCCAACAGCTTAAACTAGCATGATTGTCGTATTCAACTTCAGGAACTCACAGGAAAACTTTGCATACATCTACGGTAAGAACAGTAGGTCAACAAAAAACTATAATACCCCAATACACTGCTGTGGATTGACTTCATCTCACTTCAACACCTCTAACCTAGAGATTTAAAAAAAAAGGTACACAATTGTTTCTGTCTATCTGTTCAATAGTATTAACATAATTATCTTATTTTTATTCAACACAACTTACAGAGAGAGTTTTCCCCTGTTTGTCATGTTATTGGGATGTCAATAAAAGCATGGGTCAGAGTGGATTGTACTGCTTACACCAAAAGAGGCGAACACAAAACAGACCAAAGAGTTAAGATGCATTCACATGATAGGCACTTTTCTCTTGGCTCACTTAGCACAGCTGTCATTTGATTGGTCGGTCAGTAGTTAAAAAGGTTAAAGTTGAGATATTTTTAACTCTGTGCGAAGAGCTTGGAGAACATCTTGATCAATGGCGCCACCGCTCTCTCCATAGAATGCCAGCACAGAGCTGTTATACCGCATATCATGAATGCATCAGTAATCATTACAACTATTACGACAACAATAAACCTCCATAAGCTGTGCAGATATTTTACGTACGTACACCCTCCAGCCAATCAGAACATCTATGCTTTGAGACAGCCATTGAAATACTTCTTTTGATTGGTCGGCAGATAACTGTTTGTTAAATCCACTGTATTGAAGTCAATAAAAAACAATACAGGAAAAAAGTCAACTGAATTTGGTTATGGGCGCTGATGTGTTCGCTACTTCTTCATGTCATGACCTTACTGTGAAAGTAAAAATATATCTCCAAACATATACAATCTCTCAATATAAAAGTTCCACAGAGCTTTAGAAATGTGTCTGAAGTCCAATATCAGCTCAAACAGCAGGCAGTTAATCAAAAATGTTGACTGTAATGAGTTGTGAAACAAGGCAGCACACACCTTCATGGCCAAAAGGCACAAACTTGCAAAACTCAATTTCAATATTATGATGACAAAGCACCCTCAGCCTGCAGTCCTCAAACCCCGCAGAAAGGCCTCATTCATCTTCGCTCTCCTCTGACGCCAATGGGAGGACACCCCTTGGACCGCCGTACGTTCACAGGTTGAATTCAGGTTTGATTTGATACTCCCACTGAAAATATAACAGGGCTTCTGAACGGGCAGGACCAATCTCAGCAGATAAGAGAGATTTATAGGCTCCTCGCTTTCTACAGAAATATGTGGAAAACAAAAGATACACTGTCTGATTTTGTTTTACTACCCAGAGATACCTCAAAACCCCCACATTATTTGAGCTTACTGTTGATATTTTAAAACTCTGAACGCTTGTGTTTTTGCACAACTAAAGTTAGAATCCTTAGTAAGTGGTCTAAAGCGTGTTTTCATTACACAGATGTTTCTGAGTTACATGTTCTCCAGTCACTGGGGGCAGCACTGAGCAGCTCCTCCGTCAGACATGCAGGGGTAGCCAAGCTTTCGTTAGCACGACTACTGCTAGCATTTAGAGATGTAGGTTATGGATAGCTTGCTTTTATTGCAATAGTGTAATGCAATTTCATTTCATTTCATTTCAAACCTTTATTTAACGAGATTGGTCCCATTGAGATCATAGATCTCTTTTTCAAGGGAGACCTGCAGCATATAGGTTCCACATGAAACATAAAACAATAAAGGACATTATACATTATATTTACAGGATAGATAGCAATAATAGATTGCTGTTTGTTAATGTCATGGTTAGTTTAATGAGCTTTAAATGCAACCAAAAATCGACATTTACCTTAAAAAAATGTTTCACTACAGCATAAATATCTGCTCTATTTTGTCCTGTATTTTCCTCTGACCAAAACAATCAGAGACTAAAATAGGGAATTGTATGATTAGTGTTTATTTGTTTTCATGATTGCACAACCTCGTTATGCATTAATTCAGCAAAATCAATTATTTAACAACACGCAAAGCTAGAGCCAAAGACTTTGACCAGCAATCAAATATATAGATATATTTACTACACTATAAATATACATTGCCTCCTCAGACTTGCTTACGATTTTACGCTACTACGATAAGTGTTATATTACAGCAACACTATTTTTTTATACACACTTTCACAGTTATCTTCGTGGTATTTTCATTATGTTTATTCCCACTGCAGGGTAAGGCTATACTTGACCTAGCTGTACTTTTTTTGGTACTACTTTAGCAGAGGATTCAGCAAGAGCCGATACAAACCGGTAATGTTAAAACACGGTGGAGCAAGGATTGGTCAGAGCGAATAATCACTATTGGTCAGCAGACATCCAGCCTTTCTAACTGGAAAACTACCATCAATAACATGAACACATCACTCTCAAATTATTTCACTAAATCAACATTGTGTTGGATTTGTGCATATTTTGTTATCAAGCCAGTCTTTTGCAGGACCAGCCCACACAAAACAAAATAAGTATAGAACACCTGAAAGAGACATATCAAAGTAACAGGAAGGGGATCCTTACATGTGATTATCAATCTGGGAAAGATTATAATTAATGTGTGCAAGACTATGCATAGACGATGTCTGGAATACTAAATAATAAAATACTTTCAAGGCCAAACGTATAATGTGCTTATCCACTGATTATGTGCACATTGTCTCTCAAGAGTCTGTTGTATCTGTAAAGAATAGGCTACAACAAACATCGAAGCAATCTGTGAGTGTTAAGAATTTAGCCCGTCACATTCAATAAAGAACTGTTAAGAAAACAATCAACACCAATTATGTGAACAGTGCTCAAACACCTGCTTTGTATTCTGCATCTCTTTCTGTGTGTCCCTTCTGAATGAGCACACCATTTAAAACCTATGCAGGAAAGGAGGATCCTACCAGTGATGATCAAAATGATTACATAGCAGTAAATACATAATGCCAATGCAGTGAAATACTGAGAAAGTGTTCTCATTTGAAAGACTATCCAGTTTCACTCAACATCAGTGGCGGCCGGCCCATAGGGGCGCTAGGGGCGCCGCCCCACCTCTTCCCACATTACAAACAAAATATAAAAAAAAATATTAAATTAAAAAATATATATTAAAAAAATATATATATTTTATATTTTTATTTTTAATGAACAAGGTAAATATCATACAATTGGTATCAGTAAAATGTATAATCTACAATAAAATCTCGTTTAAAATTGTGTTACGATGTCTAAAGTTACTGATAAGTCACATGTTTCCTGCCTGGCCTTGCCCATGGCATTAGTTTATCATTACCGGGCGGAGCCCCCGAGACAAACAGCAGCAACCAGCACGTTGCAAAAGTCTCAATAGTAAACTGTGCCGCCGAAACATAATTTCAGCCAATCAGCGCCGTCAAATATTTTGGTCACGAGGGCGCTCACGTTGGCGCCCACGTTGCTTACAGTGACGTGAGTTGTTTTTTAGACTCGTGAGTGACCAAGGTGACGCAGTATTTAGAATGGTGTGCAGGTGGAGTCGCCGGACCTCGGTCCGCACCCAATTCCGTGCAAGAGCTACTCTCCAATCCTTTCCAAAGGAGAAGTTTGGGAGATAAATTGATACTTAAAGACCTTGGACCGGACCAACCCGATTTGTATATATCACAGCAAGCTCGTGAAAAAGACAAAACGTATCAACGAGGCTAGCTGGATGCAAACTATGCAAACAGGTAAATGCTATCTTTTGTTTCCCATGCTTGCTCTTCAAACAGCCGGGGACAGATAGGCCTACGATCTGTTCAGAAACTAGACAAAAGTTAAACAAGTACAAACCACAGACTGTCTGTGTGATGGAGAATACAGTCGCTGGTTTATTTATGTCTGTATAGGCCGTTGTTGTGAGTGTGGACGGTCGGAACATATATAACGTTAGCTTAGCCAAGCTCCATTCAGAAAACAAGCATTCTAAAAGGTTTTTCGCCTGCCGTCTGTCTGCAGACTTGTCAAAGCATTAATTCATGGTTTTTACTAACCGGTATCAGTATGTTGTTACGTCGGCATCATTTAGAAACGTGTATTACAATTTAATCACGGTAAAATATGTTCATTTTGTTGTAGTTGTAGCTCCTGAGCGCGTCTTGTTTGAATGATGCGAGTAAACACAGCTGGCAGCCGCGGTGAAACTCGAGCGACTAGAGCGATGCGATAGGAGCGTTTAGAGCGGAGTGAATATTCGCATCGCGTCCGGTCTGAACGCAGCATTAAAGCGAGCTCCGCGCTGCACTGGAAACGCGCCATTACATCACCAGAAGTTCTAATTTAAGGGGTAATTTCTCCCAAAAAAATGTTTTACTCACTATATCAAAAGCCCCACCAAAAATATTTTCCACCAGCCGCCACTGCTCAACATGATATGTTAAACCAGCGGTTTTCAAAGTGTGAGGCGCGCCTCCCCTGGGGGGCACCAGAGAGCTTCAGGGGAGAAATAAAAGTTGTGTCTCATCGGACATTTATGAGAGAAAATCCCTAATGTCCGAGTGCAAGTGAATGCAGCACAAGACGCCAGCCTTGTAACCCCTCCCCCGGCCCTGGCGTGGGACGGCGCATTTGGAGCATGGATGTACACTGAACAAAAATATAAATGCATCACTTTTGTTTTTGCTCCCATTTTTCATGAGATGAACTCAAAGATCTAAAACATTTTATATATATACACAAAATAACCATTTCTCTCAAATATTGTTCACAAATCTGAAAAAATCTGTGATAGTGAGCACTTCTCCTTTGCCGAGATAATCCATCCCACCTCACAGGTGTGGCATATCAAGA